GCTGACAATCCTTATTCGAACAATATTCCTGGGTACAATCGTTCTTCGAACAATCCTCCAGCGGACAATCCTCCTGGGGACAATCCAAATATATGATGTTCAAGGGCCCTGGAGCTAATGCAGTATTAGATTAGATAATTAACTATTTTAACTAGTTCCGCATGCCTCTCACGCCAAAGTCACGAGTTCAAATCTCAAAATGGCGAAACAAAAAGAAACGTGCTAAGGGATATGACACACCTTAATCTGACTGCCACGGCAGCGGGTACCGCGTTTTTTTTTGCTGGCAGTTGTGCTGTCTGTGTCACTTTTGACACCTGTTCTGGTACAAATTGCTGTCTTTTGCTCTAGTACCGGGTGCACCAGGTACACTAAAAAAAAACAGCTAGGTGAACCAAAAAGAAATCGCGTGAAGGAGGTCCTTACCCTTTGGGTCCATGGTTTCAATGCTCTGTGCCTTTGAAATCTCGACGAACATTTGAGGAGGTCCGATCTGCATTGATCGATTCTCTTCGACGATTTTCTCGTTAAATAACCATGACAACAAATTTCGTATCTTTTTTTTTTATTTATTTGACTCCCAAAGAGTTCTAAACATTGATATTGTCAATAATAAGAAGAATTGCTAGATGTGTAGAATATCCAGGAGTTCTAGCAATTTTGGGTGGACCTCTCTTAGCGCAATTGGTAAAGGAGCAGCTATAAGCAATAACATAATGGAGGCGGCGGGTTTGATTCCCGGTCCGGTCTAGGATTTTTTTAGGATGAACAAATTCTCGACTACCCTTGGCAAAGAGTATGTTTGTACTTGCCACACAATATCTACTAACGCAAACATAGTTCAGGCTTAGATAGCTCACCATTAACAACATACCAGACTAGACCAGAGTTTAAGATTGCTTAAGCTTGTAACCAGTAGTGAGTCTGTCTGTCCGAGATTGTTGAAAATTTCTCAACGATCAAAAAGCGCAAGGAAATTACCCGCCATCGTTGCTAGATAATTGCCTGGTGAAAGCAAAAGCGGTAGTCGTAAACCAAGCTAGACAAACCCAAAACCAATATATAGTGAAAGATCGTTATACCAAAGTTAAAGAAGGTAATAAGTCTGCACGATACTTGAGACGTGAGACTTGAGCAGTAGTGGAGGAGGAGCCAATCTACTAAAATATCCAGGACCCCGTAGATTACCGCTAGAAATATATCTACGCCGTTTTCAGACCCCGTTGTGTCCGTCAACCCCGAAGGAAGAGAGGAGAGTAAAGGGGAAGAGGTGTATCGACTGGGCAGCCCACAGTTGAAACCGAGGGACGAAGGATGGAAGCAGCCGGAAGAAGAAAGTGAAGATGAGGAGGAGAAGGAAGGACAAAGGAAGGAACAAGTGAAGGCTAAAGTAGGAGATAGCAGATAAGAAAGTGGGCAAGTTAAGTATAATGAGAGAGAGAAGGATTAGTAATTTCCATTTAATTCCACTACCTTATTTGCTTATCCTTGACAGATACGCGTATTTCGTCTACAATGTGCAGACTTCTTCAGTGTCTTGTACTAATACTCTTGTACTAATATCAGTCGAGTATTAGTACAAGACACTGAAGAAGTCTGCACACTGTAGACGAAATACGTGTATCTATCAAGGATAAGCAAATAAGGTAGTGGAATTAAATGGAAATTACTAATCCTTCTCTCTCTCTCATTATACAGGTATTCCACTAAGACGCCCACATTCATCAGGGGCAAGTTAAGGTTTCTGAAAGGTACCTTTGTGAAGCTGAATTGAGTGGTGTGAAAATTATTTGAGTGTTTTCTTGGCCGCGGTAGTCACACGCGTATGTCGACCCTGCGACAGTGTAGAAGGGCTCTTATTACCCAACTAACAATTTTCACAATGTAAACGCTTTACTCATTTCATTTATACAGCCCCAAGCTGTATTCAAACGTTATACGATATCAGGAAACCTTTACTTGAAAGGCGCTTATTCAACCTTTTCCTGGTTATCCAATAATCACTACACAAGCTTTCTCTTGAAGCCGGGTTAAATACTGTTTACGATTTTTTTATGGAGGAATTTATTGAGTTTATTTTGCTGTCAAAATCAAATTAATCGAAATTAGTTACAAGTAATCACCAAATTTATTTACCCTGCACCGGAACCTGGAATCGAACTCGAGACGACCGCATTGGCAAACCTTGATACTACCAACTGTGCTACGCCAACACTTTGAACTGCCGGCGCCGGTGGTGTAGTGGTAAGCGTGACTGCTTTCTAACACCCCAATGGGTCTGGGTTCAATCCCAGCCGAGGTCGGTGGGATTTTTCTGAGGCATAAAAATCTCTGGTCACGTCTTCCTTCAGAAGGGAAGTAAAGCCGTTGGTCCCGGCCCATGTGTGTTGTGAATGGGTGCGATATCCTACGCAGGTGTGGAAGCTGCCTTCATGCACATTCGGTTGCCGTCAATGGATGGCAATCGATGTCCGTCGGTGATTGGCACTAGATTGTGGAACAGAGACCGACGTTAAATAAAGGAAAGAACACTTTGAACTGATGTAAACAAATCAACATGCCCTTCTACAACAAAATCGCTGAGTAGATGCTTTATAACAGTGCACATGAATAACTTTTCTCGACTAGTTACTTCAGCTTTGTAAAGGAGCAGAGTAAAAGCTGTAAAACTGCACACGTCTAAAAATAAACCCAGTTGACTGTGAAAATGCTTCCGAAGTAGCTCTAACACAGTTTATTAGCTGAGTACATGATGTTTAGTTGTTGAAAAAGCACTTTTGATGTTTATGTTATTCAGCAAGAGTTGTTGGTTGTGTAAAAGCCATCAAATGAGTAATATATTCACTTTATTAGCTTTGTTTTTCATTATCAAGTTGAAAGATGATTAGTATGTGTATAAAAGAGACATTAGCGTTTTTTTGGCTGTTGTTATTCACTGCTACTAACAGATTGAATAATGGTTGTGAAAAAGTTGAGTAAACGCTCTCCAAAACTATTTTGCTAGCTTCTGTTTGTAGCTGTATCTGCAGCTTCTGTTCAGCTACTTTACAGCACAACGCTGGAAAAGTTGGCTTATAAAGCTGAAAATGTTAGTTGGGCAGTGCTGGACAGGGAGTGTCCCACCAGTTACAAGCTTAGAGATGCCAAATGTTTTGAAAGCTCTCATATTTCTGGATCTTTATGGAGTTCTCAAGAGTTCTAAAGTTTGCTGAAATTCTAGATGCTGGCATTATTTATAGTGTCGGAATTTCTAGAAAAATCGAGAGTGGATTGCGAAAGATTCCGTTATACTGAAATGTTCCGCAGCTTCAGAAGTTATTCGGGAGTTCAATAACTCCAGCACTGCTCTAGAAGTATCGGAATGTACTGAAATTCCTAGGAAGTTTAAAAAGCTCGCGAAGAGGTATAGCTTCAAGAGTCATTTGCGTTCCAATAGCTTTAAAAGTTTTTAAAGATCTTGAACTTTTAGAAACTGACAGCTAATACCTTAAATATCTTTGAGTATCTTCAAAAACGTATGGAAATCATTCGAATGTATCGCTACAAAATCACCAATATAAAGTTATTTTCATCGGGTCCCAAATAGCATCCCCCTTCTACACTCAATTGTAGCAAATGCAACTTCTGGGGCTTGTTATTTCGATCTACCGAAGCGCGAAGCAGTCAAATAATGTGACAGGGTGATAGAATCAATTTTATGAAGATATAAACTTCAAGTTTAGTTCACCCTTATACATATACAAAAAAGACTGAGGAAGGAGGAAGCAAATATTGCGAAGAAAGTCCCTGAGTGGTGCGGAGTCGATCACTTTAAATTTTCCTGTTGTTTTGCTTGAAAAATATGAATTTCCTTTCCTTTGTTTACATCCTCTCAACACCGCTCACCAATTGGCACCTTTTTTTAAGAGCAAAATTGAAAGCTCATAAGCGACTTTCTCATTATGTGTCGCTTAATTGAGCCAATATTTTGTAAAATTAGGGATGAACTTGATCATCAAGTAAAAAGCTGATCAATTTCATGTCAAAGGTAAAATATGCTTTTGCTGCTTTCCCTCAGACCCGTTTATTTTGATGTTTAAGTTTTCTTTGTTGATGATGTTTACAATCATTAGTGATTATTGTAGTTAATTAATCGTATTTTTTCATTGTTGGTATGAATAAATATGACCACATACTTAGACAAATTCATGTAAAGTTAGGTGCTCTGAGACTGACATATACGAGCGTCAATTTTAACATGACATTGAGTCATAACAGATGCGAAATTCAATTCAATCAAACGTAGTTTTCGTCGAGTATCGAACTTTTCAGTCTCGGAACCCTTAATTTTACATGACATGTGTGTTTACATCTCATACTTTATGTCAAAGATGGATTCCGTCACGTGTAAAATTAGTTATTTCTAAGTGTGCAGCCTTTATGATACACTTGCTTTATTACTTTACAATTTAATTTAAGGATAAAATGTTGAGTGTTGATCCTAATACTTTATCTTTCAAACGAATCTGTTTACTAGTTAGACTTTTTGACAACCATTTCAAGACAACGCACAACTATGGAAAGTCCATGCAGTAGGAACTGTTTTGAAAAAATAAATAAATAAATAAATAAATAAACATGCATTCCCAAAGAAAATTCCACATTTTTGATCGTGGTTTCAAAGCATTTATCAAGTCTAAATCATGGTGTTTAGAACCCTCATAAAACCCAAACGGATACTTGGGTTGGCACCAGTTGAAGCAATTTTACTGGTCTCAGAAATAGTGGAGGGAGATTTTAGTAAGAAACCACCAGAACTGCACTACTTCTACTGATTGCAAGGGGCTCCTCATCGTATAGAAAATAAAATTGGATGGTTAACTATCGACGTGAAGAGATTTAATTTAGCCGTAAGCAACTTACAAGAGATCATCTGAAAGGTCAAGGAGAAGTATTTAAAGTATACACCAAACGAAACAGTAAACAACTGCAACTCAATACATGAAATTGAACTGATAGTTATTGAGTGACATGCTTTATTTACTTGATTCATCCTATCACTAGATGTAAACACTTTCATAGAAAACATTTGACCTTCACATATCCCATTTCAATTTGAAGCATCAACTGTGATTTCTCGACTTGACTTGAATTGACGAACCTCATTCTATTCTTCCATCATGGCTTTAATGTCTGCGGCTAGGCCGTCCAAACCGTCTCGAATCGTAGTCACTTATGTGCTTCAGATTGTTCGTCTGGGCGTGGTACAACACCTTCTGCTTGTCCGCGTAGCTAGTCATGTCAAGGAGAACGACCCGCGGCGAACCACTTTCCGGCAGTACGCGAAGAATCCTGTTGGCCAACTGTCGCATTTCCGGGTTGATCGAAAACGAAGACCTGATGTAGTCCGTTACCTGTTCCGTGTTGCTGATGTCCAAATCAAACTTCTCCAACCGAACCAAGTTGGTAGTGCCACGAGATCCACAGGATTTCCTCATTTTCTCCACAATTGCTTCCAGGATTTCTACTTCACGCTCGAGATCACCGTCGGAGTGAGTGAGTTTTTCGCTCTTGGCCGTACGGCACAGATTTGTCGCGGGATCTACCTCGCACTCGAATAGGACATTTTCATTGGAATACAATTCATTCAGTTGTGTATTACCCTCTTCATCAAATTCCGAGGGTAAATCTGTTGCGTCTTCTGGTGGGTTTGATGTCACTTCAAAAGATGGGCGATGATCCGGTTTTTTAGTAGGTTGTCCAAAGCGGACGTCAATATGTGGGTCCTCAGATGTCGTTTCACAATTGCACTTGTTGATGATCGAGTCTGAAAACAAATTTGTCTAATTATTTCACCCCAGGATACACATATTTCAAGAAATTATTCCTTACCAGTGACCCACAATCGCTGCGGATGCAAACGGGTAACATTAGTGCTATCTCCCAACAAAACCTGGTAGTACAATACGTCTCCCTTTTTGATGACAACTACCTCGTCTTCCACGATAAACTTCCCATAGGTAACCGTCGTGGTGTTCTGGCAAACGTCACAATGTGTTTCATTGACATTCTTTGGATCCTGGTTAATTAACAGCTCAATTCCGAAAAATGTACTGTTCGGAGACCGTTGAACCATGGAAACCGTTAATCCTTTCGGTTCGTGAACTTCAAAGTTCACGAACGGTTCATGGCGATGCCAATGATGCCGTCCGTGATGCCCATGATGGCCACCGTGATGTCCATTATGGCCACCGTGATGTCCATTATGCCCACCGTGATGGTGGCCATGGTAGTGACCACCTCCGCAATGTCCAGCCACCAAACTCAGGACCAAAATACAACCAACAAGTGCGATCAACTTGATATTCATCTTGAACGAGCTGATTATTCTCACTGCTCACTATTGACTTCCAACCGGGAATGACTGTGCGATCGAAGAGCAATAAGCTTTCTTTTATACAAAGAACCAATTTGGTGTGCGTTGAAGTCTGGTTTGTTTTGAATATAGAGGAAAGATCAATAGGTCAATATAGGGAAGCGTTCCGTCTGTTGGAAAGCAGTATATAGTACATAAACTAGTACTAGTATAGGTGAATAAACATCATTGGTCTGATCTTGTTGAAATGCGCATTGCAGTCGGTTTTATGAGTAACGTGTTTCAAAAAAGATGCCGGTGCCGTTCAATTAGGTAGATTCAAATGGTGATTCACCGGGAAATCTGAAAACGTTATCAGTTCCAAGAACATCATCTGAAATCCATTCATGTATGCGCTCTGTGCTAGTAAACAAGCATTACAAGCTAGGTTGCTACAGTGGGGGAAATTCGTTTAAACGCAATGTCATTTTTGCGTTTATTTTCAACACAAAAGATCGAGACAAAAAATCAAATATAGTTTGTCATAGCCCATCAGAAGTTTCGTATTTGAGAACACAATTTGATTGGAAGTTCATAATGACTTTTGAAAAAATCCCAAAAAAGGTGATTTTGGGGGGGAAATTCGTTTAAACGCACTTTTAGTTTTATTAATCAAATCGAGTTCACAGTTCAAAAATCAACAATAAACAATAGTTAATACTTCGTTTGCTTTCCGTTTTTCTGAATAGTTTCGAAAATTCTGTTCGGCATTGATTTCACCAGCTTCTGCAGAGTTGTATCAGGTATCAAGCTCCAGGCTTCTCTTACGGCTGACTCAAGTTCACGAACTGTTTTAAACTGCCTTCCGCCTTTGTAAACCTGTCGTGCCAGGATGCCCCACAAGTTCTCGATAGGATTTAGATCCGGACTACGAGCTGGCCAATCCAAAAGACTGATGTCTCGTTCAGAAAACCATTTCAAAGATTGCTTGCTGACATGAATTGCTGCATTATCCTGTTGAAATACGAAATTTTCCGGCATAACGTCTTCAGTAAACGGGATCAAAACATCTTCCAGAAGCTCCAAGTACTTTCCCGAATTCATCCTGGTTGAAATGGTGGCAATAGGGGTCTTTCCATGGATCGAAAAAGCGGCCCAACACATTAGAGTACCACCTCCAAAGTTCCTGCTCAACTTAACCTGCGGAGATTTCCTCAAATCGTGCCAATAATATGCGGTGCAGTCTGGGCCGTCCAAATTGAATTTCTTCTCGTCAGAAAAAATAACATTGTCCCATTCCGTAGTCCAAGACATGTATTTTTTAGCGAAATTCAATCTGGCGCTAATGTGAGCCGGTTGAAGATTGGGTTTTTTTGCTTTTTTGGTGTACTTTAAGTGGCCACTTCCATGTAGAATCTGCCGTACACGCCTCTTAGAAATGGAAAGCCCCATTTCTTGCTTGATTTGCGCAGCAGAGAAGTTTCCAGAGTCTCCCATTTGTATGATTTGGTTTCGGATACGGTTGGTGATCTTCGAATTTCCCTTTGTTTTCTTTTTTACGCCATACGTCTTGCCTTTTTTCAGCAGGTTCCTGATTGCTGCTTCCGATCTGTGGATCACACGTGCAATTTTGCGATTGCTCTCACCGCGACTTTTGAGTTCTCGAACCAGTATTTGCTCCGACTGGCTTAAATACTTTCCTTTACCCATTTTGCCGAAAACAAGCAACAACTACCGCGCAACGCAAATTTAAACTCGTGTTAATGGCGAACGAGGGCTATACAGTGTAAATATGACAGATGCGCAAGATAACAGGAGCATAGGTACGCTCAATGCGGCTTTACGTTAGTGTGCGTTTAAACGAATTTCCCCTCTAAAATCACCTTTATTGGATTTTTTCAGAGACCACAATGAACTTCCGTTCAAATTGTGTTCTCAAATACGAGACTTCTGATGGGCTATGACAAACTATATTTGATTTTTTGTCTCGATCTTTTGTGTTGAAAATAAACGCAAAAATGACATTGCGTTTAAACGAATTTCCCCCACTGTATTACTGATTGACTGTCGAAGATGATGAAGCTCTGATCACAGTGCCATTTGATGTCCTTAGGAAAGAAACGCGTATTATGCATAACAGATGATCATATTTTAAAAAACGGATGTGCATCTTCAGTGCTTGTTGTGAAAAAGATTGGCAAGCTTAAAAGTGAGTGCAGTATCGTTTACAGTATCTTTTACGAGGCTATTTGTTGCACAGTGGTTCAGAAGTCACAGTGGAACTCTATTTCAACTGATTCTCAAGAGCTGATATCTTCAGTATAATTGATAGTAACTTATGTTTGCACGAAAGGGATTTTGAGTGAATGGAATAAGCCCAATGTTCAATGAAAATATACAGATTTGCAACGTGTTCTGAATTCAGTTGTCGGGACACGTGGCCGTGGAGTACAACCCAAGTAACATTGCAAGTTTTATCGAGGTTTTAAAGCATGCTACAAGTCTAAATCATGGTCTTAAGAACCCTCTTAAAACCAAAATTGTTACTTGGGAATGATCGACTGTTGTTCGAGCGGGTGGCAATGGATGGTTTCAGTCTTCATGGCTTAGCTCAAATTAACTCAACTTAGCATGAGTGAATCCAACGCCTCTCCAGCTTCAGGTTATGCAAATGGGACAATCCGGACAAAGCGGCCAATTTAACCAGTTTACAAGAAATTCTACTAATCTCACTTGCTGTGCCCATTTAAATGGTGCAATCTAATCAGAATTATCTTGCCTTCGGTCTCGTTTCTAATGTATTCCTCCAATGCACTAGTCGAGTTTTGTCCATTTAAAATGGCCGTCACCAGTAACTACCATCCTCCTCCCACGCTGCTTTTGGCCACAAACTGAGCAGTCAGGGTTGCTCCCAGGGTCAAAAGTACTTTCACATGGTCATTCAATCTAAGATGAGAATGTATCGCTCCAATCTAATCGGTTGTCCACACTGCCTAAATCAACTTTCCGTTAAGGTAACAAATGACTGGCCCCTATGCTAACTGAACAATTGGACAGCTTAAGCATTGAGCCACTAGACTGACCCACAAATACAAAAATTTTAATTTTTCACGGGCTAACCGCTAGATTTGTCCCTTTAGGTGAGAAAATCGTTCTCTGAAAGTTTCAGCTCAGTTGGTTGTAAGATGAGCTAGCGCTTTTAATTTAAATTTTGTATGGAGAATTTGAATAAAATACATGAAAAAATTACACCCGTACCCCATTGCGATCATAAAAAAGTTTCATTATTCTAGATTTGATTTAGATTTTCAAAGCTTGTGGTTCAACCAATAAGTAACAACTTTGCTAAAGACTTCATCATGAATTCAGTTAGTTTTATTGAGATATTTGCCTTTGAACGTATCTGAGCATTTTGTATAGGAACATTTCCACCAAATCCCCTGTATAAACATTAAACCAAAAGCGAAGGCCCGTGTTACGTCAAAAATAGCAGAAACATTCAGAGAGTGTTCATCTCTCCTAAATACATGAGTCTGGATGATGGTCTGCAGAAATAATGAACTTTAATTTTTTAGTGGTTATCTTGTTAATACGTTGCATAAGCTGCCTGTAGTTTATTGCAATATACGAACAAAAAGCCCATAAAATTTAAGAATAAATATATTCATAACACTAACTTGAATCGTGATGCTGTCTTGACCAAAGTTGATCCTTATAGTTTAAGCTACATGTGCTGAAATTCTGAGCTTGATCGATCATTTTGAATAAATTCTATGCACGAAAGAGTGAAGAAATGTTATTTTTTCATACATTTCAAGCAAAATCCCCATATAAACTTTAAACCAAAAGTGCCAGCTGAAATTTTCATTTGTGCCACTAAAATCTTTAGGTTGGCCCGTTGGCAACAAAATATTAAAAAAAAAAACTCCCATATAAATGTGAACCAGTCTATTGAGCCACGTTTCCATGAAGAGAATGACGTCATAGTGACAACCAGATATAGACCTCTAACATTCTGACGATAAACAGTCAGTTTCTCATCGCACTGTACTTAACTTAATGATTATTTAAAACCATTAAGGTGTGATGTACAGATCTAATCCACTGACTTCCAGAGTCCAGATTCAGGTCACATCTACAAATATTTACAAATAGTAGCCGTGCCTCATTTAGTGGTGATCTGGAACTTCAACATATGTTATATTCATATCTCAATCCCTAATTATTTCAAATATCACAACTACAAGTGCTTTCGAACCAATTTCGGGGCTCTAGGGTCAGCTTCATAACTTGGTAATGTTTACTGGTACTCCAGGAAATCAGGTTGTGGGTTTCACAGAAATGCTTCAATTTCGGTTACACCAGAAAATCCCAATAATTCTGAAAACTGAAGATAATCCAAGATCATCTCTGCGAATTTGAGACCAATCTGATAATTTTTGTGTAACTAGATTTCCTAGGAAGATCCAGGGCATCATAAAAACTGTGAATTCCAGAAACTTTCTTAACTTACGGAGCCTTAAGTTTAAGGTCAGGGTACTTTTGAAATAATCTCAAATTCATGGAGTTCCTGTAGTTTCAGATGTTGTGAGTATGATAAACAGAATGTAGTATGAAATACTATTTATTATTTCAAACCCAACTCTGTCTACCACAGTGGGGTTTCTGGAGCTTTCGTGCCAAAATCTCTGTAGATTTAACGCACAATAAATACTGCCAAGAATGACGAATATCTTTAAGTTCCTCGGATTTCTAGGTTTCTGAAGGTCCATTATTTTCCAATGTTTAGGAGTTTTCGAAAAGTACGATGGACGATTCTTCCATTCACTTTTCACTATTCATAGATTTTTCCTATAATCAATGCTCTTTCTTAAATTATCTGGGTAAATTAGATGAGATCTATTGATAGCTATAAGAACCTATAAATAAAAAACACTTTGTTAACATTTAGAAGTAAATATTATTATTCACAATGCCAACCAAAAACTTTTTCATATTTACTTTTAATTTTGTCATATTTTGGCATGGCAAATCTGAAAAAAAAATCCCGATCAAAACCTCGGGGGACGTCATCAAGACCTCCCCTATCAGGATATAAGGTGTCGAACGGCTTCGTCCCCCCTGAGGCCCTATTCCAAGCACGGGGTAAACAATAATTTTCAACGCTCATTTTCTGCAGCATTTTTTTTTTTAACTCTTTATTTGTTTCAAATTCAAAATAAATTGCATTTAATTTTAACCTAGGTGCTCCAGTTACTACAGTAACTTACCATCCATAATTGTTATGATATATATCTAAGTATTTTTACATTGTTCCTGTCTTGGCAATTCAGTATTTTAAACAGGTTTTTTAAACCTGCATGTCAGTGTAACAATTGATATCATAAAATTAAAAATTAAAGCTAAATCTTATCTAAGTATAAAGGGAATTAATCGTTGCAATTGAGGATTGCTACGATTTTTGCCTGAAATTACTAATTATTTTGTTGGACATTTGTTCTAAAGTCTCAACATACGAAATTCTATGTACTTCGGTAGTACTGTACCAGGGAGGCAACTTCAAAATCATCTTCAGACCTTAGTTCTGAATTCTTTGAAGTGCTTTTTTCCTGGTAGTGCAGCAACTAGACCATATTGGCACAGCGTAAAGCATGGCCGGTCTAAAAACTTGTTTAAATATTAGAAGTTTATTCGTCAGGCAAAGTTTGGATTTCCTGTTTATAATAGGATACAAACATTTTATATATTTGTTACAGTTGGCTTGAATGCCCTCAATGTGATCTTTAAAAGATAATTTTTGGTCAAGTATTAATCCAAGATATTTCACTTGGTTTGACCAGGAAATTGGAACTCCGTTCATAGTGACTATGTGACTACTACTAGATAAGCCTAGAACGAAGCTCTAGGCTTATGTGGAAATATTATAAGTTGAGTTTTGGAAGCGTTGGGAGAAATCTTCCATTTTTGTAAATAAGAAATTTGCTGCAGCATGATACATTACATTGTGTGGAGCATCTTTTGGATGAGTTTGCAATTCTTGAAAAAAAAAACCCGAAACCCCGTGCTTGGATTCGGGGGGAGCCATACGGCCACGATATTCGTATTAAAATCGAGCGTGATAGATTGTGCAAAAAAGCTTTTGATTGTATCAATAGCATTTTTGAAGCAAGGAAAAACGTGGCTATAGAATGATTATAAGAAAAAGCGACCATCTTCTAAACGAAGATTGGCCAGAAGTATTCCGGCATCCGTGTGATTGAGACCGAGTTTGTGGCACCACCCCCGGGCAGAAGAAGGTAACGATAAAGGGCACCAAACTAATTCAAATCTTCTTTAAGGTCTTGTGCCCGACTTGGAAGGCTGGCGAGCCTAATACAAAAAATAAACTTTCCGTCAAAGATGGACAATCCGTCAAGACCCTTTCGCGAGTAAAAGCTCACTCACACAAACTAACTTTGGGATCAAAAATAGTCCTTGGACTATAAACGCTAATCTTTTTTTCTGCTTCTCTGATCTTAAAATCTTGGACTCAGAACATATTTAATGACACCGAAATTTCAATGTGTTTGAAATTCAAAACATACAGATTGTTTAAATATTTCGAACAAGGAAACATTGCTGAAGATGGCATCTTTCTATCTGACCTATTGGAGGCGAACCAGCCTAAGGCTGAAAGCCTCCTAAATAAAGCTAAATTAATTAATTAATTATCTGACCTAGCCACAAAACGGCACTAAACTAACAAAATTCTCAGAATCAGACAAATCTCGCAAAGAAATTCTCTCAGTTTCTATCGTCAATCGCGTGTCAAACATTAACACACACTTAGAACAAACACGTATGCTTGCCGCGTCCCATTAATTTATTTACTTTCTAACAGACATCATTTCGTCATTTCATTCCGTTCAAATCAGTTCAAAACAATGGTCGCCACTCGATTGGCTACAATTTTCTTCGCAACCGTAGTACTTTCCTCGGTTCAACTTTTCGATGCACAGCAGCAGGAACAACCAGGCGTCGCACCGCTCCCCGAATGGATCGTATTTTCCCGGCAAACCAAATTAGACATCCAAATTCTGGAACCCAGTGGCATTCAGGTTTGGACCAGGTACAAATCGAAATATCGGAGCTTCGGAGTTGAGCTGTACGTCAATCCAACTAGAGACGAGTCCCACTGTGACCTGTGTAGGAATGTAAGCAGTCCCGTGGATGGAAAGTTTTTAATTCAAGATGACAAACTGCAGGTGAAGCTAGGCGATACCATTAAGTATCGCGTGGTGAAGGTCAAGGCCCAGGAGATCAAGTGGTCACCGTGGAAGTATGTTTTTGTCGATAGTAAGTGTGATTGAATGAGTGTATGATTTCAGAGGCACTGTATAACGGCATTGTATGTTCTAGAGAAACTGTTTTACGATTCCGAAAGCTTTTGTGCCTCGCAATGCGAACAATCCAAAGACATCGCCACAGTTCGATACCTTGAGCGATACCTGGAGAACATGATTACCGATTGCAGTCTATCGCAAATTTCCGGACAGCTATTTTTCCCTATGGATCAAGCATCGTCCTTCGTTAACAACCCGGAACGCTTTGTCAAGACTCGTCTCTATTCGATGGATCAGCTAAGGCCCCTGGTCGATCATGTGCAACACTGCTTCGTATCGACGGATGGAGTGGGTTTCAAAATGCGTACCATCACGGAGAAGCTCAAAGTACTGGAAGCGGGCCGAGAGCGGCTCGGTGTTGTGGACTACGACGAGTATTTGATTGTCCCCGGTTCTAGTGCACCGGAGGCACGTTCGTAAACACCGCAAATATAGGTAAACCATGTGGAAGCCAACGCAAACAACATGCTGAGAAGGAGCAAGCACAAAAAAGAGACGTGTGTGTGTGCTTGATATGTGCAGAGCAGAATTAAATTTGCCTAGTTTAAATTTAAATTAAGTGCAAACTCTTTTCAAATATTACGTGACTTGATTTTACCGCAGTTCTCATTCCTTTCGTTTTTTGAAGAACTTCCCATCAGCCGAGGAGAGTTGGGCAACGAGATGTGGGGGAAACATCATGATTCTTGTTTGATATTAGCAGGATGTTAGGGATGCTGCCGTGATTCAATTAGTGCTTCGGGTGTTGTATCTTGTTTGTTGTCACATTCTAAGAAGGAAATAGATATTATGGGAAAAAATGATCAATCATAAAAACAAACAGTAAATTTGATTATCTGCGCATTTGAAAATTTTCAAAACAATATAACAACCCATATGTAACCCATAATTTAACCAGATTGGGTCCTAGCCGGACAAAGAAAGACAAGTAGTAATCATGGACCGATTTAATAAGTTCCGCTCCAATATTATTCATCCCAGCTGCCTTGTTGTTTTGAAGCTATTTTAAAGAATCCCTAACATCACTTATCGTGGAAGTTGGTTGATCCTGTATATGTTTTTATATAAATCTGCATTTAGAAGCTAACACTTCCCAGTTGACTAATAAAAATCTAAAATATTATCGTTAAAAAACACCAAACCCATAAATATTGCCCATAAAAGTCCAAAAATAAAATTTTAGCTTGAGCTTTGATGACCGTACATTTTGTAGTTGCTAATCCGTGATAGACAAGAATCAGCCTAATTGCACACAGATTCAAATGAATGGGGCTTGGGCCCTTGTAAATATTCGAACACGCTATTCTGGGGTTACTCATTTTTGAGTAGAAAATCACTCAGCTTAAAGGGAAGTTACCCAAAAATGTGTCAGCCTATTTAGGGGAAATGGATGTAAGGTTGGCCTAAATGCCCCTAATTTGGGCCCATACATAAATCCAGCAATCGACTAAATTTTCAAAAGCGATCAAAAATATCCATTAGTACCGTCCCAAAGACGCGTTCATAAAATTGATAAATAGCTAATTTTTAGCGATGGGCCCAATCTGTCTGTTTGTCTGTCTGTCTGTCTGTCTGTCTGTCTGTCTGTCTGTCTGTCTGTCTGTCTGTCTGTCTGTCTGTCTGTCTGTCTGTCTGTCTGTCTGTCTGTCTGTCTGTCTGTCTGTCTGTCTGTCTGTCTGTCTGTCTGTCTGTCTGTCTGTCTGTCTGTCTGTCTGTCTGTCTGTCTGTCTGTCTGTCTGTCTGTCTGTCTGTCTGTCTGTCTGTCTGTCTGTCTGTCTGTCTGTCTGTCTGTCTGTCTGTCTGTCTGTCTGTCTGTCTGTCTGTCTGTCTGTCTGTCTGTCTGTCTGTCTGTCTGTCTGTCTGTCTGTCTGTCTGTCTGTCTGTCTGTCTGTCTGTCTGTCTGTCTGTCTGTCTGTCTGTCTGTCTGTCTGTCTGTCTGTCTGTCTGTCTGTCTGTCTGTCTGTCTGTCTGTCTGTCTGTCTGTCTGTCTGTCTGTCTGTCTGTCTGTCTGTCTGTCTGTCTGTCTGTCTGTCTGTCTGTCTGTCTGTCTGTCTGTCTGTCTGTCTGTCTGTCTGTCTGTCTGTCTGTCTGTCTGTCTGTCTGTCTGTCTGTCTGTCTGTCTGTCTGTCTGTCTGTCTGTCTGTCTGTCTGTCTGTCTGTCTGTCTGTCTGTCTGTCTGTCTGTCTGTCTGTCTGTCTGTCTGTCTGTCTGTCTGTCTGTCTGTCTGTCTGTCTGTCTGTCTGTCTGTCTGTCTGTCTGTCTGTCTGTCTGTCTGTCTGTCTGTCTGTCTGTCTGTCTGTCTGTCTGTCTGTCTGTCTGTCTGTCTGTCTGTCTGTCTGTCTGTCTGTCTGTCTGTCTGTCTGTCTGTCTGTCTGTCTGTCTGTCTGTCTGTCTGTCTGTCTGTCTGTCTGTCTGTCTGTCTGTCTGTCTGTCTGTCTGTCTGTCTGTCTGTCTGTCTGTCTGTCTGTCTGTCTGTCTGTCTGTCTGTCTGTCTGTCTGTCTGTCTGTCTGTCTGTCTGTCTGTCTGTCTGTCTGTCTGTCTGTCTGTCTGTCTGTCTGTCTGTCTGTCTGTCTGTCTGTCTGTCTGTCTGTCTGTCTGTCTGTCTGTCTGTCTGTCTGTCTGTCTGTCTGTCTGTCTGTCTGTCTGTCTGTCTGTCTGTCTGTCTGTCTGTCTGTCTGTCTGTCTGTCTGTCTGTCTGTCTGTCTGTCTGTCTGTCTGTCTGTCTGTCTGTCTGTCTGTCTGTCTGTCTGTCTGTCTGTCTGTCTGTCTGTCTGTCTGTCTGTCTGTCTGTCTGTCTGTCTGTCTGTCTGTCTGTCTGTCTGTCTGTCTGTCTGTCTGTCTGTCTGTCTGTCTGTCTGTCTGTCTGTCTGTCTGTCTGTCTGTCTGTCTGTCTGTCTGTCTGTCTGTCTGTCTGTCTGTCTGTCTGTCTGTCTGTCTGTCTGTCTGTCTGTCTGTCTGTCTGTCTGTCTGTCTGTCTGTCTGTCTGCTGCATCCCACTCCTGCTGCCACTTAGCCATCGACTCCGTTCTCACCATTTTTCGTACTCCTCTGGTTTCTCTCGTCATATAGCACTCGTAGTCCTCCGCCAAGGTGATGCCGATTGCGATCATACCGGCGATAACGCATACTGCCTCCATCGAAATGGTTCTGTACGCACTCACGACTCGCATGGCCATGAGCCGGAACGTACTGCTCAATTTCCTTTGGTTCTGCTTCGTTTTCAGCGCTTCAATCCAGGCTGGACCTCCGTACCTTAGTATTGATGAGGAAACACTAGCCAGAAGACGTCTCTTGCTGCTGCTTGGACCAGAATTGTTCGGCATGATTCTGGCTATTGCGTTGATGACCTTCGTCGCCTTCTCGCAAGCATATTCGATGTGGCTATTAAAGTTTAGCCGGTCGTCGATCATCACTCCCAGATACTTAAGCATGCGCTTCGAAGCAATGGTGTGCTCTCCAACGGTAATTTCTGCCCGCTGCACTGCTTTGCAGTTACTGACCAACATCACTTCTGTTTTGTGGTGGGCTATCTGCAGCTTCGCTCCTTGCATCCAGTTACCAATCGTATCTATCGCCTCAGCCGCCAACATTTCCACTTCTTCCAGCGTCTCACCGGTTACCGTCAAGACGACATCGTCCGCAAAGCCAACGATCTCAACTCCTTTGGGCAGCTTGAGCGTCAGCACGCCATTGTACATTCCGTTCCACAGCGTGGGACCTAGAATGGAGCCTTGGGGAACCCCCGCCGTGATTCTAAGCGATTTCTGCCCCGTGTCTGTCACGTAGACAAGGACCCGGTTCTGGAAATAACTACTTAGAATCCTGCAGAGGTAGCCTGGAACCCTCATTCTATGGAGCGCCTTGGCGATGGCCTCCCAGCTGGCGCTATTGAATGCATTCTTGACATCGATCGTAATCACGGCGCAGTATCGATTTCCTCTCCGCTTCTGTTTGGAAGCTTTCTCGGCTCTGTCAATCACTGTCCGAATTGCATCCACCGTCGATCTCCCTTTCCGGAATCCAAACTGTCTCTCCGACAATCCGTGTTCACTCTCCGTGCATTTCGTCAGCCTGTTGAGGATGATCCTCTCTAAGAGCTTTCCTACAGTATCCAGCAAGCATATTGGCCTATACGATGCAGGATCCCCCGGCGGTTTTCCGGGCTTCGGCAACAGCACAAGCTTTTGTACCTTCCACCTATCAGGGAACTGACCATCGTCCAGACATTTCTGCAGCACCATCCTGAACATGTCCGGGAACGTCTGGATCGCCGCCTTCAACGCCACGTTGGGAATTCCATCCGGGCCGGGAGCTTTATTCGCTTTCAACCCTTTCGCTGCTGCTATGAGTTCCTCGTTGGAGACTTGTTCAACGTTGTCTTCATCTACCTCGCCATATGGTGTAGGTGGCCAGTTCGTTGGGTCATGCTGTGGGAAAAGTCCCTCCACGATGACTTTCAGCTTGTTGTGACACATTTCAACCGGCATCGTTGGGCCTCTGATCTTCGCCATCGCAACTCGGTATGCGTTGCCCCAGGGGTTGGCATCGGCATCGCGGCACAACTCCTTGAAACTATTTGACTTGCTCAGCTTTATCTTTCGTTTCAGTGCAGCCCTGGCCTCTCGGAACACCACCCTGCGCTCCTCTCTGTCTGCTTCTGTTCTTGCTCTCTGAGCACGCCTTCTGGCTAGAAGACAAGTAGCACGGAGGGTGCTAATTTCCTCGTTCCACCAGTAGGCTGGACGCCGCCTGTTCGTTGGCTCCAGTTTTCTCGGCATAGTTGTGTCACATGCCCTTGCTAATAATTCGGTCAACTCATTCGCGCTTAGGCCCGGGACGCTGTTGTCTACCCTTAGAGCTTCGATGAAGAGATCCTTATTGAATGCCTTCGTCTTCCACTTCCGCTCGCTTACTTTCGTCCTCCGCATTTCCACCGGTGTTCGTTCGCCGATACTGTACCGGATCGCCTGATGATCACTATGGGTGTACTCCTCGCACACCGTCCAGTTCATATTTGCCATTAGCGACGTACTGCAGAAAGTAACGTCGATAATGGATTCCCTACCATCTTTGCGGAAGGTGCTGATGGTTCCTTCGTTGGCCAGACTGACGTTCAACTTTGCCAGAGCTTCCAGCAGGCTATACCCTCTTGCGTTGGTACATCTGCTCCCCCAATCCACTGCCCAAGCATTGAAGTCTCCTGCGATGACGACTGGTCTCCGTCCAATGAGCTCTTCGGTGAGCCCATCTAGCATCTGGTGGAACTGCTCAATTGTCCATCTCGGGGGTGCGTAGCAACTACATACAAAGATTCCATTGATTTTGGCGATCACGAAACCTTCATATGAGCTTGCCACCACTTGTTGTATGGGATACCTGCCCATGACTTGTATGGCCGCCATTCCTGCTCTATCCGCCACCCAGTTACCATTATCGAGAGGGACTCGGTATGGCTCTGCAATGATTGCAACGTCGCACTTTGTTTCCGTTGTTGACTGCCACAACAGTTGCTGTGCTGTGTTACAATGATTGAGATTTATTTGGGTTACCTTCATTATTGCTGGCCCACCATCGCCTTCTTGAACTCAGGGCAC